CCACAGCTCTGACCTGCCCAGCCTTGGGACCCCCAAAGCACCACACACCCCTGGAGCAGCTTCGTGTCTCCACCAAACACAACTCAGTGGTGAGGAGGGCGGAGCAGGAGAGAGAAGGAATGCGTTGGCAAATGTGCTGGAGCGGCATCCAACTATTTATTTCGGAGAGGACAGAACAAGGAGGAGCTGGGAGGGGAAGAGAGGTTAAAAAAATACAAGTGGAAGGTGGCAGTTTGGGGTTGGAACCACATGATCTTCAAGGTCCCTTCCAACCAAACCATTCCGTGAAATCCCTGAGCTGAGTAGCAAGTGGGTTATGAAACCAGGGAGAAGTGGATGGAGAAATGTGGGGTTTGAGGGATGGAGATGGGAGGCCTGTGGATGACATGATGGGCTGCACTGTCCTGCTCTGCAGGACACGGAGCTGCTGGGCTGGGGAAGCTTTTCCCTGGATAAAACCAGACCAGCAGCACATGCTGGGAAAAGGGAACCAGCAAGGATCAAAGGAGAAGGATCAGAGAATCCATCAGCAGAGCCCTGTGTGGAACACCGGGACACAAGAAGCGTTACTGGCACGGGGAACAAGCACTCAGGATGAGCTGCTCCACAAAAGGAGGGGAAGAGGAGCCCCACCCTGTTCTCCAGAAGCACCTGAAGTGTTTGTTTGCAGCAGAGCAGAGAGAGGAGCAGCAGCTGAACCATCCCTGGGGGGATCTTACCTTCCTTCCCACTGCCACGAGAGGGCTTTGCCTCCACGCAGGAGCGGCGGCTCGGCCATGACAGCAGCGCCAATCCCAGCGGAGCAGCGCTGACAGCGCTATTGATTTCCATGACAAACGAGGGACGGCTTTTCTAACTCCCCGGGGAGGGGCAGGGGCGGGACCCGGGCACATCCCGGCCACTCCGAGCCAAACCACCCCGGAGGAGCGACAAAACACACCCAAAGCATTTCCGACCGATTTTCACAGCACGAGGGGAATTCTTGAGCACATCCAAGCTGTGCCGGAAGCCGCCCCTTCCAGAGGAGACGGACACGTGTTCCCAGCTCACCCCCACACCGGGATGCTGCAGGTGGCAGATGAGACAAACAAAATGCTCCCCTCGTACTCCGTGGGCGTCGCTGGGGCTCCATCAATCAGAGCTGCCAAGCCCCAGCGTGCTGCTAATGAGTTCAGCCCAAGCCAGCCAGGCTCACAGGTAAAACCCTGCCTGATTTATGAGCAAAGCTGGCGTGCCCTGGAAGAAATCAGGGCTGGCAGGAGGTGGGATGAGGTTTTGCATCTGCCTGGGGAAGGATCCTGCTCCATCAAGGAGGTGAAATCCAAGCCAGAGGAGGAATCACCACCACTTAGGGAAATGCTGGAAAACCTGAAGGACCAGCTCGCTCAGAACCAACAACTTATAGGTATTTTCTATTTTAAAACTAGTTAGGAAACAAAAATCATCTTTATAGGGCAGCTGCAGCTCCTCAGACACTGAAATTAAGGACAATGGCCCACCAGTGCCCTGGGACAAGTCACCACCACCCAAAATCCCAACTACTGCAGCTGCCCCAACCCATGGAGCCGAGGGGGCTGAAGCAGTTTCACCCCCAGGAAGGGGAGCTGCCAGCCCAGCTCTCACCCAACAGCCTTCCAGCCATCCCAGCTGCAATTAGGGCTCTTTTCCTCCTTTTTTTTTCCTCCCAGATCCTCCTTCCATTCCAAAGTGCTTTGAGAGATGAAGTGGGTGGAGAAGGGCACGCTGGAGAAACATCTTCCAATTCCCCCATGGGATCACGATGGTCTCTCTTCTGGCTGAGGAAAACACTCTTCCCTTCTCCTGGGAAAGGCATCACCACCATCATGGCCATTGCCTGGCACTCCCATCCCTCCTTTCCCGTTACCAGACGGCTCCTTGGGTGGGAGGGAAAGGCGCCAGCACAAAGCACTGCCCAGAAAACAACACCCAAAACCTGAGGGATCTCGAAAATCGGGGTCTGGAAGCACCTAAATACACCAGCTGGGCTTGTTGAGGGTGAGACCCGCTCAAACTGACTGCTTCCAGCCTCTGGAGGCTGGAAAACACCAGACACATCCAGTAACAAACTGGTGCATGGCATCTCCCCCTCTATCCCCTGGATCTGTGGGCGATCCTGCTCCATTCCCAAATCTGAGGGCTTTGCTTTCGCAAGGTGAGGGAGGAAGCACAATGTGGGGGGCAGCTCAGCTCCCTCAGCCTGGTGAGAGGCTGGAAGGTGTCAGAGGAGAGAAGGAGTTGATCCCAGCTCCCTATTTAGGTGCTGGAAAATCCGTGTGCCAAACCTGGGGCTAATCAGGAGCGGTTCTTAGGCCGTAATCTCGTTAGGGGGCTGGGCAGGGAGGAGGATCTGCAGATGGCAGAGCTCAGTCACTGTGCCCCACACAACACCTACAGCTGAATTCCACGTGGGGCTGTCCCAGGGACATCCTTTCCTGGTGAAGTGCTGGCAGGGATTGCCAAACTGGCAGCTGCCCCTCTGGAAAAAGCTCCTTTTTTTCCCCTCTCACATCCAGCAACAACCCAGCTGTGCTTCAGGGAATTCCCAAGCTCTTCCTGCCTGGAGCTGACCTGTTTCACGGGGCTGGGACACTCCAGCCCACCAGCCTGAGCCCATTTCCAGAGTCAGGGAACAACCCCTCCCCAAACAGCAGGGACACAGCAGAAGGACACGCTCTCCACACGAAGGAGAACACGACAAACACCACAGTGGGAGTGTCTTCAGTGGAAAAATCAACTTGGATGGCCACAGCAGAGAGCAGTGCAGCCACTTCCCACTGCTGACACGGCACTGAGGCTGGGGAAACCCAATTCCTCCTTCCTGGCCTTAAAAGGAAAGGAAGTGCTGCTTTCACTAAGGAATACTTTCATGTCTTAAGCCTCAGTGCCAGGACCCAGTGGCTCCCAGCACAGACTGGCAGTGACAGCACTCCCAGCGTGGCTCTGCAATGCCCAGCAGCTCCAGGCCCTTCCCCTGCCCTGTTTTTGGGGACAGTGTCACTGGGGTGACCCGAAACACTCCCACACCCCAGTGGGATGTGCTGGTATGGAATCAACATCCAGGAGGAAATCCACCCCCTTTCCCACTGCCTGGTCTCTCCTGGGTGGATCCTCGTGAGGTTTTTGGGAGGGCAGGAGATTTCCCAGAGAGCTCCAAAGCCCCCCTGCCTGGAGCTCCTCATCCCTGTGCCCACCAGCCACGCCTTTAATGTTATTTCTCAAGCAATCCAAACTATTTCCCTACTGGACATCTCCCACTCAGCTTGTGGCACCTGCAGCCAAAAACACCCCAGCCCCTCCAGGTGACAGGAATGGCACAGCAGGACCTGAGGGGGGCTCCAGAACACACCTTTTCCTGGCAGAAAGGGCAGGAGGGACCTCTGGGCTGGGAAGTGGCTGTGATTGAGCACCTTGTCTGTGCTCTGCTCGGCTCTGGCTCCCACAAACCTAATCATGTCAGAGGGAAAGAAAATCAAACCCTCCCCGAGCGCGGCTAAAGCGATTAAAGCGAGACACGGAGAGCCACGCCCGGGGGGCAGAGGAAACACAAATGGGCAGCTGTGCTGTCAGGAAAAAAAGGCTCTGGGATATTTCTTGGGTGACCTTTTATTCACTCTCGTTGCTGGGCAGGCGGGATTGCCCCTGGGAAGGAGAAGGGCTCTTCAGGCTGATGGTCTGCACACCTGCTGGGGCTCCAGGTGAGGGGAGCACCGGGTGCAAAACCTCTGGAAAACCTCTGGAAAGCCACAGGGTGACACACCCGTTCCCAGCTGGAATGTGCACCAAGCCTCTCCTGCAAACCCTGGACGCACAGTGAGCTCGGCACTGCGTTAATTAAGGCAATGAGTAAGTAAGGACGATGCTCTTTTGGCATTCCAGCTCTTCCCTAGCGAGATAAGGACGTGCCTCGCTGCCTGTGCTCATTCCCATCCTCATTGTTGTTATCCCACCATTCCACACCTCCAGCCACAAGACAGTGCGGGCACAGCCTTGCAAAACCCCGGGCTCTGTGTGTGTAGGATAACGACGGGATGGGCGTGCAGAAGCCTGGGATTCCTGCAGGGCGCCGGGGATGCCACACGCGCCGGGGGAGCGGCATCACCGCCCTGGGTGTCACTGCGGGCACGCCTGGCATGGGCTGGGAGGGCAGAGGGAATGTGGGGAGACACATCCCGAGGCCAGGACGAGGAGACACAGCGAAAGGGCTCGTTTTTGGCAGGGAAAGGCACTAAAATCGATGGTCGCCCCCCCGCGCCGCGGCCCCGCCCGACCCCGCCGGGCTCCGGACACGCTCCCGCAGCGCCCCGCCCCCCCGGCTGATCGACAGCCGGCTCGGCCAACCGCAGCGCGGGACGCCGCCCGCCCGCCAATCAGCGCGCCCGGGGGGCGGGGCGCCGCTCACTTCCCGGCCGCTGCCCTCCCTTCAATGTGCCCCGGCGGCCGCCGCGCCGCGCGGCCCCGGCCGCCGCTCACCCGCGGTTGGAGCCGCGCTCCGCCTCGTTCTCGCAGTCGCTGCAGTGCTCGTGGTCGTTCTCCCCCGCCGCCGGTCGCGGGAGCCGCGCCGGCGGCCGCCTCACTGCTGTCTCACTGTCGTCCGCCATCTTGAAACGGGGCCTGGGCGCCGGCCGCGCCCCCGCAACAAGGCGCGCCGCGATTGGGCGCCGCGCCGCGATTGGGCGCCGCGCCGCGGGGCATGCCGGGAGCGGTAGTCTGCGCGGGCATGGGGAGCGGCGCTGCCCTGCGGCCGGCTCTGCAATTCCCTTCAGCCTCTGGGGGCGTCCCGGGCCGGGAGGGCTTCCTCACACCGGGGCAGCCCCGCCGCGGCGGAGAACAACACCCCGGTCCCTTCGGCCACCCGTGCCGCGCCGAGGCCGCGTGTCCGCCCGCTCCCCGCTGGAGGAGGCGGGCCCAGCCCAATGAGAGCAGTGCTGATTGGCTGGGAGAGGCGCCCGGCTCCTGTCAGCCAATAGGAGCGCGGGACACTGCGGGGCGCGTGAAGCCGGGCAGGGTGTGAGCGGGTGAGGGTCCCACGGCACGGGGGGTCAGGGCGGGGATGGGGCGGCTCTTCCCCCCTCCAATTAACCACGTATTTAATGATTTTTCCTTTTAATCTCCTTCTCCTCGAGCTAAACGCCGGGTCTGTCCGTGTGCCAGCGCAGGGGGAGGGCCGGGCTGTAGGGTGGTGCGGGAGGACACTGCAGCTCCGTCCCCAATCCCTGTGAGGGTGGATTGGGGCTGGCGGCTTGTGCTGCGCTCAGCAACCAGAGGAGACGGGACACGGGGGGATTTGGGGCACCTCAGTGTTTAAAAACCCCTTCCCCGGCGCCCTGCGTGCCTTTCTCTCCCCGTTCCTCAGGGCTGGAGCAGCTCTCCCGGTTTTCCAGCCCAAACGGCCTCTGCGCCTCGTGTTTTATCTTTCTCTATCTCTGATTTAGTTGGCACGGGCCAAATATAGCCAAAAAAACACCGTATTTTTGGAAAAAACTGGTCCTGGCTCCTGCCTGTGGCAGCTGCAGCAGTGGCTCTCCCCTCGTGGGCACTTCACGCCCAGGCTCGTTAAATATTGATGGCTCTTTCCCTGTGCTGAGCTCCGTGCAGGCCCTTGGACACAGCACGAGTGTTCCAAGCCCTGGCTGGCCCTGGATTCCAGGACAGCCCTTCCAAGGGCTGCTTCCCCCTGCAGTAATTCCTGCGATGGAGGGACAGAAATAGAAGATTTTTTTGGGAGCAAGTCCCGGCTGAGGCTGGAGGCCAGAACGCTGGGGTCGCTGCAGTTAAAGCCCTGTGTTTGCTCTGCATGGGCAGCGGAGTTTTGAGTGTATTTTTCCAAAAGAAAAGGGCATGTGGAGCCTCCCCGTGCAGCTGCCGTGAGGCTCCTCCTGCAGCAGGTGGATGAAATCCTGGTGGGAGAGCAGGATTTTCACCTGCTGGGATAAACAAACAGCCCCTCTGTCACACTGAGCCCACAAAGGCGCCCCGGGGGGGTCCAGGTGCTGCTTAGGGGTGTTTGTCAGCCACCCCAAAGCGCTGCTGTTTATCAGGAGTGCCCTTTCTGACTCCCTTTGGGTTATCCCCCCTTGTTGGTGCCGGAGTTCTCCCCATCTGTTGGTCTGGGAAGGGGAAGCAGCACGTGGTGCTGCTGTGGGCTGGCATCAGCTGCTGCCTTTTGCTCCAGCTCTGCCTCTTCCCTCTGCTGAGCTGCCTTCAGCTGCCACAGGGCTCCCCCACCCCTGCCTGCCCCTAAACTCTGGCTCTGAGTCCTGTTTGTGGGAGCAAATTTATGACTAAAATGTCTCTTTTGTGTGTGTGTTTTCCAGCCCAGAGGACACAGTGCTGTGGTTTGACCCCTCCCAGCCCTCCTGCAGCCCCCTGTTCCTTGGGGACTGTGCAGGCAGAAGGTACCTGGGTGCTGAGTTTTTTTTTTGGGGGGGCTGGGGGTGTCTGGAAGGAGGGAAGAGGCCAGAACCTGTTTGGGCAGAGAGATGGTGGCTGAGATTGTTGGGTTTGGGGTACAGGGCTCTGTGGGAGTTTGGGATGAGGGGTGAGCACCAGCAGCCTGTGGCTCCTGGCCAAAGATCTCAGGGCCAGTTCCTCCTCAAAACAACAGGCAAAAGATGGGGGGTTGGGGAGGTTCAGCCCCTTCCCTGTGAGGGTGGTGTCACCTTGGACAGGGTGACCCCCTGGGCTGGGACTGGAGGGGAGACACAGGATCCATTTCCAGCCTCCCATGGCTGTTGCCTTTTTTGGGATGCAGATACTCCCAGGAGTCCCCTCAGCCCTCCAGAGCTGCCTCAGCATTACAGAGCCTTTTGGATGTAGAGGACTGCAGGGTGTGGGTTGAGCAGGGATCTCTGGGAGAGGAGCTGAGGGGTCACGGCTCCCCTCCCGCCCTCGGGGCCATGGGCAGGCACAGGATCCGTGTCCAGGGCTGTGTTTGCCAGCTCACAAACACCACTTTTGCTGCTCAGAGCCGTGGTTTCCGTGCCCCTTGGGCTGCCAGGCAGTGTGGGAATGGGATGCACTGAGTGCCTTGTGGGTTCTGTGTCCCCATTGTGTCAGAGGTGGCTGATCTGCCACACCCGGCTGCAGGATCGAGCAGGGCTTGTGTTCCCCCATGTTCAAATATTGTCTGCATTCTTCCTCTTTGTCACTGTCACCCTCACCAACCCTACCAGAAATTTCCTCTGATTCCTCTGAGCAAGTCCAGAGGAGGCCCTGGAGCTGCTCCAAGGGCTGGAGCCCCTCAGCTCTGGGTGACAGGCTGGGACAGCTGGGAGGGTCACCTGGAGAAGAGAAGATCCAGGCAGACCTGAGAGCCCCTTGCAGGGCCTAAAGGGGCTCCAGGAGAGCTGGAGAGGGACTGGGGACAAGGGATGGAGGGACAGGACACAGGGAATGGCTTCCCACTGCCAGAGGGCAGGGTTAGGTGGGATAGTGGGAAGGAATTATCCCTGTGAGGGTGGGGAGGGGCTGGAATGGATTTCCCAGAGAAGCTGTGGCTGCCCCTGGATCCCTAGAAGTGTCCAAGACCAGGTTGGATGGAGCTTGGAACATCCTGGGCCAGTGGAAGATGTCCCTGCCCATGGCAGAGGGGTGGAACTGGGTGGGCTTTAGGATCCCTTCCAGACCAAAACCATTCCATGATTCCATGATTTATGGGAGGTGAGAATGGTTTGGTGGGTGCAGATGCTAAAGGGGAACGAGTTGCTGCAGCTGCAGATAAATAAAACAGCTGGAGGAACTGAGGGCTGGCTCAAGAGGCACATCCAGGGTTAGGGGGGATTTCAGGGAAGCCTCGTTTAACCCAGGGATTCCCAGCCCAGAGGGTGCCAAAATCCTGCCCATGTCTCAATAACACCCCGAGAAAACGAGCTTGGAACAAAGTCCCCCCTTTTGGGGGGGGCTAAACATTTGCTGTGCCCAGCACAAACCAAACAGCCCCGTGTCCTGGCCCGTTTTGCAGCTCCTTTCTTTCCCCCTTTTCAGAGCACCATGTTCCTGGTGGGGCTCTCGGGGGGAATCGCGTCGGGGAAGAGCACGGTGGTGGCCGTGCTGCGGGAGCTGGGCTGCGCCGTCATCGACGCCGACCTCATCGCCAGGCAGGGTGAGTCTCTGCCGCGGCCGATCCCGCTCCCTGAGGTTCCCCTGACAACTGGGATGGCTGCCGGGAAGGGCTGACGGCAGAGGGTGCTCTGGGTACGTCCAAGTGTTTCCCTCCCGCTCCGCGAGGCTGCGGAGCTGCCTCCGAGGGAGGGGGATTGGAGCTGGGATGTATTTTTAATAAAGAAAAAAAAAAAAAAAAGAAGATCGTGTTCTAAGAAACGCCGTGGGGAGATCGTGGCCTGAGTTTCTCTCTCCTGGAGTGTGGTGTTTCCCAGTTTGAAAGCCAGCTCTGGGCAGAATTAGTGTGGATCCCTGGGCTAATCCAGTGTGTCCCCCCTGACATCCAGGACACCCATCCTGCCACCCACGTGTAGGGTGGGATCACTACAGGCTTGAAAGAGAATTTCCCTCTGTGCTGGATGTTGTTTTCTTGGTGACACTGAGAGATCAGAACTTAAAATTAATGTGCTCCAAAATAAAAAAAAAACAAAACCAAAAGAGGCTCCGGAGATCCCAGGTCGGAGGGAATTTGGTCTGTGCTCCTGCACTGCTCACCTACCTCTTGCTGCTCTCCAATGTGCTGTCTGGGCTGGAGGGAAGAGCCACAATTCCAGGACTGGAAGAGATACTGCTCTCCCTGATTAGCTGTGAGATGTTAATCCCTCCATCCCACAGGGATAAAAAGGGGAACAGAGAGGTTGCCCAGAGGAACTGTGGCTGCTCCATCCCTGGAAGTGTCCTGGGCCAGGTTGGACAGGGCTTGGAGCAACCTGGGCTAGTGGAAGGTATCCCTGCCCACAGGGTGGTCTTTAAGGTCCCTTCCCACCCAAACCAGCCTGGGATTCTGAGGGCTGTGGATCCTGCATGTGGCCAGTCCAGGGGCTGCAGCTGAGCTGTGGTGCAGTGGTGCACATTTGGAAGTGCCTGAACTTTTCTGTTTGGTGAAGAACTTACTGTGTAGCCACTCAAAGCTGTGATGCTTTAACATTTTATTGCACTGTAATTCCCCTCGAGGTACAGGAAATTTGCTGGAGGTGCTAAAAGCCCTCGGAGACGGTAGGAAAACACTACAGATACCTTGTGTCAGGTCTCTACCAATCACTTTATTTTCCTCCAATTCCTTTTTTATACGTGTTTGTTTACTATGTGGATTTAACCCATCCCAAAACTGCCTCCATGTGATATTCCACGGGAGGAAGAAATTGGTCTTAAAGACTTTTATGAGGTTGGCCTGAGGTTACAACCTGTGGCAATGTTCCTGGATTTGGGAGAGATGATTATCTGCTCTCTCCTTCGCTGTGGTTACCCTCAGCTGGAGCTTAATTATGATTTTATTGCTGCATCCCTTTTGTTGGTGTCTTTTTTTTTTTTGGTGGCTTTAAAGTTATACACTCCTGTGACGTCAGAGTCCCCGCCACGGCTGATTTGGGATCGAGCTTTTAGAAGGTTTTTTTGTGAAGAATTTCGTGACTGAGGTCAAAGATAGTAAAAAAAAAACCCACCTCAGTAGCAGCCAGGTTGTAGGAGTGTGTATTCACGTAGTGCTGAGGTTTTCAGCTGGTCCTGGTCCCTTTGGATTGATTCCTCACTGGTGGGAGGCAGCTCAGCCCAGCCCCTGCCCTGGCGTGTGGCCATGGCCGTGTCCTCCTGCCCGCCCTGCTGACTTGTCACCCCGAGCAGCAGCAGGGGCTGGGAGGGTTGTGGTGCTGAATTAATGTCTGCAGGACGCTTTGATCTCCCAGGAGGTGTCAGCCCTCCAAGGGACCTTGGGCTGGGAGGGCTGTTGGAAGGAGCTGGTGCCGAGGCAGATGTGCTGGAGGCAGATGTGGTGCCTCGGGAGGATCAGCTCCATCCGTTAATGACCAGACCCCGTCTGGGGGCAGCTGCTGATGCAAACACTGTTGTAAAACCAGCCCTCACCCCTGGCTGTTTGATGCTCTCAGTGGTGCAGCCCCACTCCAAGGCCCACCAGCAGATCCTGAGGCACTTTGGCACCGAGATCCTCCTGGAGAACGGCGAGATAAACCGCGAGGCCCTCGGAGACATCATCTTCTCCCAGCCGGAGAAACGGCGGCTGCTGAACTCCATCACCCACCCCGAGATCCTGAAGGAGATGCTGAAGCAGATCTTGAAGTACTTTGTGCTCGGTAAGAGGCCAAGTCCCAGCCCTCGGGGACTCCTCTCGGGCAGGAGCTGTCCCTGAGTGCGGGGAGAGGGACAGGGACGGGGAAAGGGAAGGGACGTTGAGTGACAGCCTTTGTGCTCTGCCTGCGGTGGCCTTTGGAGGATTCATTCCTGATTCACTCCTGCCTTTCACTGCTGCCCTTCACCGCCTTCCCCTGTGCTTTAAAGTGTATCTGTGGGGCCTGTGCTGAGATTACCCCCTGGATAATGTCACACTCCCCAGATGGCCGAATATCCTTCGCTGCCCACCCCGGCCTCGGCCAGAGCTGCGCAGCCCTCTGAGCCCTGATAAGGTGAGGAACGAGCTGACAGCTGTGGGTTCCACAGTCCTGCCTTCCCCCTGCTACGTGGAACAAATGCAGCTGTCAGGCAGGGCTGGAGAAATGCCAGATAAGATCAGCAGCTGTTCCGGAGGTCTCCGTGTGGACAGGCTTCACAGCGCCAGGCTGGATCCGCCGCGCTTATCGGAGCTGAGCCCTGCGAGAGCTGAACAGGCCTGTGCTGGGGCTCCACGGGGCCAAGCTCTGCTTCAGGCTGAGGAGGAGGAGGAGGGACACAAAGGAAGCAACAGGCAGGAAAGCCGGGAGGCAGAGATGGAGCCTTGAACCCGGGGCTGCGGGGCTCAGGAGGCGGATGCTGCGCTGGCCCTCGGCGAGAGCGCCGTGTGGCTTCAGCAGGCAGCTTTGTCCTCATTAGTCAGGATTTAATGATTTGGGATAGCTGGATGTTGTCTCTGAGGATCGCTGTGTAAGGAAAGCTCTGATCGATCAAACTGGAGGGCAGCAAGCGGCCTCTGGGGGCGGAGATGCGGTGGAATGGGGCTCCTTGGGTGGTGTCTCTGTCGAGGCTCTGCCTGCCGTGGGTTTTAGGGGGCTGGATTATAAAAAGGGGGCAGCGGCAAAACCTGAGGTTGTCCCTGTGGCTGGGGCACACACAGGGGACTGAAGTCCTGGCTTCCCTCTCCTGCTCCCCCAGGCTCAGCAGGGCATCTCCCACCTCCCCAAATGCCGCTGGCCAGGAGGCATGGGGAAAACTGGGGGGCCACAGGGCCTGGGGGGACGGTGACTGGCTGTGGCAAGCTCTGCTCCTCGTGGTGACAGTGCTTTTAATCCAAACTTGGCCAGTTTTGGTGAGGGTTCAGCCCCAGGGCCATGCCCAGAGGCTCCCCCGTGTTTCAGTGTCACAGCTACGAGAGGTCTGCAAGGATTTCCTTGCTCCCCTTGGAAAAACGGAGCTGTATAGCCAAAGCTCTGCACAAAGGCAGGAAAACTGAGCTAGGGAAGATTGGCTCAGATGACTGCAGCCTGGCAAAGTCTTGGACAAGGGAAGGAGTGGAGAGCAGATCCTGCTGTGGACACTGCTTCCCGGGAGAGCCCGGCACGGCTACCGCTCTCGCCAGCCAGGCACTGCTGCTCTCATTTCAGCTCCTTGTTTCAGCTCCTCATTATATTTCTGCAGCTTCACCTTTGGTCTGAGAGCAGGCAGGTTAGGGTTGTTGTTTTTTTTTTTCCTCTGGAAACTTGGAATGAAACCGTTTCCTCCCTGTGAGAGGGAGGAGGGCGAACGGTCTGGGCTGGAGCTCCTGCATCCTTTGCTTTTCGTGGCCATGGGGTGCGTGTAGCAGGAGGGATTTGGGAATGGGGGTTAACGCTGTTCCCTTTCCTGGGGGGTGTTGCCATTTCCACAGGATACCGCTACGTGATCCTGGACATCCCTCTGCTCTTCGAGACCCACGGGTTGACCAAGTTTATGAGATACACGGTCTTGGTTTATTGGTAAGTGCCCCAGGAACCATGTGAGGACAGGGACACTGCCATCTCTCTTAGAGGGGGCTGTCACATCTCTCTGCTCAGGGCTCAGCCACTGTCCTGGTGTGAAGTTTGTCGAGAGAAGTGACATCTCCCTTTATCCTGCGGCACCTCCCCTTATCCTAGTGCACTTGAGGAGCTTCTTTAGCTTTCCCTGGAAGCTAGCACCATCATACAGGGAATGTTGTTCCTCTGGGCCTTCTGCAGCCTGTGCACCATCAGCTGGGACAGGATTTGGGGCACTGCCTGGTGCTGTGGGAATGCCAAAATGTGCAGCGAGGGTCATCCCGGGCAGTGCCGATATAATGGCTGGGGCAGAAATGACACGAGGGAATGTTTTCCATTCCCACTTTATTATCCCCCCTCGTGGCCGAGGAAGGCAGACCCCCTTTCCCTGCCACCCCCCTGAGCTCCGTCCCCGCTCCCCGGCAGTGACCCCCCGGCGCAGCGCGCGCGGCTGATGAGGCGGAACGGGCTGGACGCGGCCGCGGCCGACGCCCGGATCGGCTCCCAGATCCCACTGGAGGAGAAGCTCCAGTGGGCGACTCACGTCATCGACAACTCCGGGGACCGGGAGAGCACCCGCCGGCAGGTGCTGCGGCTCCACGCCCGCCTCGAGGATTCCCTGGATTTCCTCTGGGCCCGGCTGGCGGCGGGCGCGGCTGTCGCCGGGCTGGGGGGGCTGCTGTTCCTCCTGCTCCGGCATCTCATCTCCTAACTCACCTTTTCTCTCAGTCAGGGAAAGGGGCCTGAATTCCCTGGTTTGAAAAGGGCACTGAAAGGCCACCTCTGTTAATGAGCTTTGCGGGCTGAATGCAGACAGCAGCAAGAGGTGTCTCCTTGCACACTTCCCAAGGTGAATGTAGCCAGGGGGGATTTTTTCCGGCACCTTCTCCCTGCTCAGGTGCTCACCCACCAGATGTGCCTGTGGGGTGAGGCTCTTGTTGTCCCCCCTGTGGGTCTCTATGGTGGGACTTGGGTGAGCTGAGGCACTTTAATCTGGGACGATCTCATTCTAATCCGGGGCAATCTCATTCTAATCCAGGACAATCTCACTTTAATACGGGACAATCTCACTTTAATGTCTTCCAGGACAATCTCTTCCCTGGGAAGAGGTGGCCTCTTGGGTCCTGTCCCTGCCAGCAGTGTCCCTGGGGTGATCCCCTGTAGCTCAGCCCTCCTAATCCCAGTTTAGACCTGGGATTTCCCCTCTTTCACGTCGATTTAATGGAACTGTGTTAAATCTGCCCGGGGGGACGGGCAGCACCTCGTTCACGTGGGTCGGGTGTTCAGGTGGCCGCTCTCCTCCCTCCCGCCCTCTGATTCTGTGGCCATCGCCCGTGGGTCGCCCTTGGCTGTGGATCCGAGGGTCTGATACACCCTAGAGCGAGCAGAGACCCGGGCTCTGCCTCCTTCGCACTCATTTCTGTTTGAGCTTCTTTCGGCGGCTTTCCCGGCGGGAGAGCCGAGCCTGGGCGAGGCGGGTGCTGGCTCTTCACTTTTGTTTTAATAAAACACTGAACAGCAGCTGCTCCCGCGGCTGCTCCCGCAGCTCTTCCCGGCCCATTCCCAGGTCGTTCCTATGCCGGGGCACGGCTGCGCTCTGTAAAGTTCAGCACACGCAGGCGGAGCTGGCGGGCGCTCGTTCTCTTCCCGGTAAACATCCCTGAGCTGCTCCAGGAGCTGCTCGGAGCGTCAGCCCTGCCCTGAGCTTCCTTGGTGGGGGGGTGGGCTGTGGATCCGTGTCGGCTCCGAGCAGTTCCGCCTTCCTGGGATGTGATCCTGGGCCCCCTGTGGCTCTCTGTGCCAGCGTTTTCCCCCTGTGTCCACTGCCACCCCTTGTCCCCACACTTGGAGAAGGATGGGTGCTACCAGCCCTTGCCCACCCCTCCTCCCTGCACACAGGGGTCTCCAGGATGCTCCCACCCTCCTTCCCGGGCTCGGCCCAGCGAGGCAGCGTCCTGGCTGTTCCCAGTCCCAGCCTTTAGCACAGGGACCGTCTCAAGAGTGTCCCCAGCCAACACGTGCCCCTTTTAGGGGCCAGACACCCTTCCCGCTCCTCTACCCTCCCCTGAGCCCCACAGTGCACCCACAGGTCCTGTGTCACACCCATCTGGGGAGACCCGGCGGTCGCTGCGCAGCCCCAGAGAGCATCCCCCAAGTGGGGGGAGCCCCTCAAACAACCCCTCCCTGCTCTTAATGCTCCTTAAGTGCTCGGCGCTGCCGGAGTCCCTCCCAGCCAGCCATAAATCAGGGCCCGAGCGCGATTTCTCGGCCGAGATAAGCGCTGATTCCGCCTCCCTCCCGCTCGCCCCCGCGATAAATGGGGCCGGGGGTGGAAGGAGGGAGCGAGCCGGAGCCGTAATCGCATTTGGCGCTTCGCTCCCGCCCGGCTGACGTTCGCTAACGAGTTTAGAGGGGCCGAGGGAGCGGCTGGTTTCAGGGGATGCTGAAACACCGGGCTGTCCGTGGGGCTGCTGGGGGCCTATTTTGGGGGGCTCTGGGCGGAGCTGCGGGTTGAGCCCCCTGCGTGGGCTGCGTGCCCGGGTGTTGGCACCCACCGGGGAAGGGCTCTGGAGCTCGGCCGTGGGGCTGTTGGTGTGTGGTGCCCAGCTGTGGGTGCTGCCCCAGCATCCCTAGGCCCCCTCCCAGCCAAACCCCCTCGGGGACAAGCCCGTGTCCCCCGCCGATGACAGACGGCTCAGCTCCCGTGGGCTGGGTGGCATCGGCAGCGCGATCGATGGCCGCGGAGGGGACACCTTGAAGGACACCCTGGCTGAGACCCCGCGCTCGTGACACGTGTGCTGCCCCCCGAGTGGGCTCCACGCGGGCTCCGAGGGCCGGGGGGTGCTGCACCACGGCCCCCAGCCCCGCCACAGCCCCGGCTCTGCTCGTCCCACGTCCCGCCATCGATCGCGGAGCAGCGTCACCCCCGCGCCCACCGGGGCGGCTCGAGCAGAGCCGGCCCCGCGCCGCGAAGCCAAATATTTGACTGTGCAAATTGGCGGCCGGATCGATTCCGCTGCGGCTGCCGGGGGCTCGTGACAGACGGACACTCCTCCTACTGCGCCCCCTCCCTCTGCACCCCTACCTGGAGCACCTCCGTCCCCAGCACACCCCCTCCCTGCTGCTCCCCCTCCCCAGTGCATCCCTTCCTCAGAGCACCCCTTCTCCCACTGCACCCCCTTTCCTGGAGCTCCCCCCCCCCCTCAGGGTAACCCTTCCCCCCGTGCATCCCATTCCTGACACCCCCGATCCCTGGAGCATCCCCTGCACAGCCCCGTCATGGGACACCCGCGGGGTGCAGATGTCCCCCCATGGGCTGTGGGGACAGGGTGACATCCCCCAGTGGGACTGCCCCAGGTGTGAGCTGGCTGGGAGTGCTCAGTACCCACGAGGAGGGACAGCCCGGGGGGGTGTGAGTGTGGTGTCACTGCCTGGCACTGGTGTCACCAGTGTCACTGCACAGCGCCTGTTGTCACGGGTGTCACTGTCACTGCATGGTGTTAGCGCAGTGTCACCGTCCCTGCACAGTCCCTGGGGTGTGGCACAGTGTCGCTGTCACTGCACACCTCCCCGGGGTGTCACACGGTGTCACCGTGGCTGCACAGCCCCACTCGTGCCACGCAGCACAGCCCCGCGGTGCTGCACAGCTTCGCTGTTGCTCCCCGGGGTGTCACATGGTGTCACTGTCACCGCACAGTGCACAGGGTGTCACTGTCACTGCGGGGCCGCCGGGTGCCACGCAGTGTCACTGCAGCTCCCGTGGGTTGTCACACAGAGTCAGCGTCAGTGCCCGGTGCAGGGGCTGTCACATAGTGCCGTGTCACTGCGTGGCCCACGGGGTGTCACCCACTGTCACCGTCACTGCCGGCCCGCAGTGTATCACCCACTGTCACCGTCACTGCATGGCCCACGGGGTGTCACCCACTGTCACCGTCACTGCACGGCCCGGGGTGTCACCACGCAGGACACTCCCCAGTGCCACCCCCTGCACGTCCCGTCGCTGTCCCCCACTGTCACTGCGCACCCCCCGCCGTGTCACACCGGCCGTGGGGCGCCCCGGGGACAGCACAGCTGGTCCCAGCAGCCCAAGTCCCCGCTCCTCCCACCCCACGCGCCCCCGGGGGGACACGTCCCCAGCCCGTCCCCTCGCCAGCCGCTCAGCCGTCACCTCGCGGCGCTCACCGCCGGCGCTAATTAACTGCCGGTGTTGGCAGCCCTTAATTGCCGCGCGGCGGGAGGGTGACGGGCCCCGCCGTGTCCGTAATGAGCGGCAGCGTGACAGGGACAGGGACATGTGCCACCCACGCCGTGCCCCATCCCCCCTGCAGCCGGGCTCCCCCGCTGGGCGAGGGACAGTGCCCGGCGCGGGGCTGGGACACCGCTGGCCCCAGGGCCGGGGCTGGCACGGCTGTCCGGCCTGCTTGCCAGGCCCTGGCCACCAACCAACTGGGCAACTGGCCAGGCAGACAGACAGACAGCTGGACAGGCAACCAGCCCGGTGCTCTACTGGCCAGCCAGCCAGACAGCCTGTTGGTCAACTGGCCAGCCGACCAACTAGCCAACCAGCCAGATGGGCAATCAACTGGCCAATGAGCAACCAACCCACCCCAGCCAACCATCCACCAGCCAGCCCAAACAACCAGCCCACTGCCAGTGAGCCACTTGGCTACCGACCACCCAGCTCACCAACCAGCCACCCAGTTGGCCTTCAAGCCCACCAGCCACTTGGACAACCCACCAGCCAAGCAGCTGGCCAGTCACCAACCTGGCCAACCAGCCAGGCAGGCACTCCACAGGCCAGCTCCAGGGTCATCACCTCGGGATCGGTCCGTGGGGTCTTCCCTTGCTCCCATGTTGGTCTGTGCTGGTGCTGCATCTCCCCGGGCTTCCACAGCTTGGAAAACTTCTTAATTCCTCTTCTTAATAACCTCTGCCTCCCAACAAGGTGGTTGGGGTGGCATTTCTTAGGCCTGGAGGGTGGTGGGTGAAGTGGCTGGTGTCCTCTCAAGACTAGGGCATGGTCTGGACAGAGGCATCCGATGCCATCGGGGTCCTGCACAAGGACCTGACACTGTCCAGAGCTGAGTGTCCCCCTCCTATGGCCCCTTCCAGACCCCATTCTGGGGACACAGAAGGGTTTTGGGGGCAGCACCCAAACTCGTCAGGGGCAGTTTGTGAATGGCTACTCCCTCCCCAGGCCGACATTGGGGTCGTTAGTTGTGTCTGGCTCTCAGTGCTAATTACAGCTGAGCCCAGATAATTACAGCCACCCCTGGGCTGAGCCCACCCAGGCCGACCCCCAGCTGCGGGGCTGGGTGGAGGGGGCGGTGGGGGGCACAATGTCCCTGTACCCCTGGCCACGCGTGGTCCTGTGGGTGGAGTGAGAGGGGAAACTGAGGCACAGCACAGCCCCAGCCCCATAAACCCCTGCCCCGGCCCGGCCACCCTCGCCCTTCCCCAAATCCTGCTCCAGGAGCCCCTCAGAGAGCAGCAGGTACAGCCACCCCCCTGCCAAACCCACGCCCCTGGAGCAGTGACTGTCCCCCCTCTGCTGTCGGCATCCCCCCGGCATCGCCCCCCGCCCCCGCTCGGCGCTGCCAAAGCAAACAGCCGAGCATCGATTGTGCGGGAGCTGCTGTTTGCTTAACCTTTGCAGAGGAGCGGCGGGCGGCGAGCGGAGCCGCAGCCACTGCTGCAGCCGCTGTCACCACAGCCACTGTCACCACAGCCACTGCTGCAGCCACCACAGCCACTGTCACCACAGCCACTGTCACCACAGCCACGGCTGCAGCCGCTGTCACCACAGCCACTGCTGCAGCCACCACAGCCACTGTCACCACAGCCACTGCTGCAACCACCACAGCCACTGTCACCACAGGCACTGTCACCACAGCCACTGCTGCAGCCACCACAGCCATTGTCACCACAGCCACTGCTGCAGCCACTGCCACCACAGCCACTGCCACCACAGCCACTGCTGCTCCCACAACCACCACTGCAACAGGTGCTGCCACCACTGCAGCCACAACCGCAGCCACAACCACAGCCACTGCTGCCACCACTGCCAGCACGACCACTGGAGACACTGCTGCCACCACAGTCACCACTGCCATCTCCCAGCTTCATCCCTTTCCCTGCCCCTGCGCTCCCAAACATGGCTCTTTGGAGCTTTCCCACTCTGTTGTCCATCCTCAGGTGGATGGAGCTGCCTCGGGGGGGCTGCACTGCAGCCCCTCCCTCCCTATGCCAGGGCTGGGGACAGGGAGCACCTCAGGGTGCCCAGCCGGTGTCACCTGGGGCGTTGTCTCCCCCCGCTGCCGTCCCGAGGCGGTGCTGAAGCTGTCCCGGCTCCGCAGCGGGGCTGGGGACGTGCTGGCCTGGGGTGGTGGCCGTGCCACGCGGACGGGGTTGCCCAGGGTGACGAGGTGGCCTGGGGTGGTGGTCGTGCCACCCAATGTCCCGCAGCGATGAGGTGACCTGGGGCTGTGTCCCCGCCGTGAGGATGCAGTGGCCGAGACCAGGGATGTCCCCTGACCCTCCGATTGAGACGAGTGGCCTGATGCAACCAGGGTATGTCTGTCCCACCCTCCGTGACCCCGCCACGGCCACCCTGTCCCCATGCAGAGCCCCCTGCCCACCCGGGCCACCCCGTCCCCGCGCCGGCGGTGACTCACGCAGCCCGTGACCTCGCCGCGGCGTATTTTTAGGCGCTTGTTAAAAAGAAAGATAACGAGGAGCGGGGGGG